GCGGCGAAAGGGCAACTACGCCGAGCGGGCCGGGGCCGGCGCGCCGGTCTACCTGGCGGCCGTGCTGGAGTACCTGACGGCCGAGATCCTGGAGCTGGCGGGCAACGCGGCGCGCGACAACAAGAAGACGCGCATCATCCCGCGCCACCTGCAGCTGGCCATCCGCAACGACGAGGAGCTCAACAAGCTGCTGGGCAAGGTGACGATCGCGCAAGGCGGCGTCCTGCCCAACATCCAGGCCGTGCTGCTGCCCAAGAAGACCGAGAGCCACCACAAGGCCAAGGGGAAGTAGTCTGGCGCGCGGTGGAACCGAATCCTTAAACCAAAGGCTCTTCTTAGAGCCACACATCTTTTCAAAAGAACTTGACATTTTTCCGTGTAGAGTACGTCAGAGCCAACGGGAAAACACCCCGATCTTTGTGACAGGACCTAGCAGTTTACAAAATCCTGGTGCTGCCTTAGAACCGATAGTTATTTCACATCAACACCAAGAAAGTTCACTTTCCTGTCTTCCCATTGGGGTGAGGGGAAGGGGAAGCAAAGCTGATCACTGAGTCTTGAAAGAAACTTTCATCTCAGGCTTGTGTGTTAGGTACTCGGAGGTGACGGAGAGGGTCACATGGTTTTGCAAAGGCCTATGGACGTTAGTAGTTCACTCCTGGCAAGGCTGAGTCTGGGTCCATGGGTAGGGTTACTTAATGTGACCTGGACGTAAACTTTTGAGAAAACACCCGTGTTGTTTTCCTTACCCAGTTGCAGAATACCTCTAGTCATTGAACTCTAGTAAAGGGAAAAGAGGGTTCTTTAGGTTTTGGGTATTTTTCTTTCTTGCATATTGTGGTATTTATGAAAACCTCTGTTTTAAGGTGCAAAAAAGATAAAAGGTTACAGGCATCGAATTATTCAAAAATATGATAGCGATATGGGAGTCACCACATTGCATATCTTTTGGTGCGTCTAAGCACTGCCAATAACTAGGTGAGTGTAAGTGTTTCAAAACAACTCAGCAATTGTGATCAGAAAACATGCATAACTTCTTTTGGGTAATCAAGTACTGAGGTTTGTGGCCTACATTCACAATAAAGTGCAGTCAGTAGTTAAAGATTTTTTTTTCCCATCGGAATCCAGGGACTTCCTCACAACCATCACCATCACCACCTCCCCTCCTCTCACTGCTGGATTTTATCCTTAGGGGTGTTGTAAATAGGGACCTCAGTTGTAAAACCCTGGTTCTAAAATGTGATCAACCAACCCCATTACCTTTCAGTGCAGTTACAATTTTTGCCTGAAACCTCTTATCTGGAATTTCTTTACCTCTCATACCAATTTTATACCCTTGTATTATTTTTATAATATTTATACCCTTATATTTCTTGTACTTAAGGTACAACTACTTTGAAAATGTGATCAACCAACCCCATTACCTTTCAGTGCAGTTACAATTTTTGCCTGAAACCTCTTATCTGGAATTTCTTTACCTCTCATACCAATTTTATACCCTTGTATCAGTTCTATTTCTTGTACTTAAGGTACAACTACTTTGAATCCTACTGTACCTAAGGTCTTCTGAAGTAAAAGTAGGTGGTGACAAGATCTAGCAATGACCATTCAAGTGTCCCCAGTAATAGCAAAATATTTGACTGTTGCAGGATTTTTAGAACCCATGTAACCTAAATAATGATTTTTCTTCATTTTGCAAATGACAGTAAGGTACAGGATTTGTTTTGTAACTACAAAGTTGGTTACTGGATTTGCTACGTAGTGTGATAGAATGTGAGAATGTAAGGGAAATACTTGATTTAGACTGTTTATCTTGAATGTCAGTTTCCACGTTAGAAAAAAGCCTAAATAACATTGACATAGGCTCCTGAGAAGTAAAAAGTTTTCTTCGTTTTGTCTTAGAGTATTTACCAGGTAAAAGAAGAGAAATGGGCCCAGCATCCAGGGTGATTTTCTTTCCATAGTACTGTAAGTTGACGCTCGCTCCATCCTAATAATGCTCTGTACACAGTGATTACGTCCTGTCATGGCCACATGGCCGGAGCCTTCACTGCTCAACTTTCACAAGCCGCTGACAGGCAGCATACAAAGATCGAAGAGATCCAGGTGTCCGCAGTTGTCTTGAGTTCTTTACGCAGAACAGACCTGGACCTTCCTCAAGACTGCCTGGCACCCAGAAAACTGCAGTATCCACCAATGATGGCATCACAGAAACTTACGGAAAGTCCCTGGATTCCTACCCCCAGACTTAGGTTGCCAAGTTCCTGCCTTCTGTTTGAAAGCCCTGCCTGACTGTATTGCTCTCCAGATTGCTAACCTCCTATTAAGGGGGCTCGCCTTCTAGGTGAACTGGCTTTCTGTTCATCGAGTTTTTAGGCCCAGTTCGTACGTGTGTCCAATAACAATGTCAGTTTTGAAAATTACATAGTGTGTGTATGTCCACAGAAAAATAAGCACCTCTGGCTAACAATTTCAGATACCAAACAGCCTGACAAACATCAGATACTCAATGTAGGGAAGACAAATTTTTACCTCCACCTTTTTTTTTTTCTTTTTTTGGAGAGCTTTTTGCTATAGGCTGCATGTGCTTGCCAGAAAGACAGAGAGACAGAAAGAGAGAAATCACCGCAATCCCTTCTCCTCCATTCTCCTCTCGGAATCTTGTGTGCACGCGCGCGCACACACACACACACACACACACACACACCCAGAGTGACCCAGGACTTGAACCACAGGTGACTACATGGGAATCCAGCAACATAGCCATTATGCCAACTGCTGGTCCCCATTATTACCTCCACTCTTTTAATGTTTCTTGACTGGACCTGAAAATTAAACTGCCATAAATTAGATTAACAAGAGAAAAGCACACATATTTTATTTCACATAAGTTTTACAGAACACGAGAGCCTCACAAGAAAATTACCCAGATAAGTGGCAAAACCTACGCTTTTATATGAGGCTGAGGAGAGTCCATCGCAGGAAGGTCCCACCACTGTGGAGAGGCTGAAGGAAGGCCAGATGATTTTAACAAGGCCCGTTTGTACAGAATTCCCTCGGTCTCACCATCCTGTCCGTGGTGATAGAGCATTTCGTTTGGTATGGTGAGGTCATCTTCCACATGGAAGTTTTATCTCTTGCTTTCAAGAAAGAAGAGAGTCGAGGTGCCTTTTTTGCACCTGCAGTTTTGTTTTGTTTTAATTGCCTTTAGTTCAAAATAATCCTTTTGTGAAAGTGGCATATTCGGGGATCACATATTCTGCCAGTCTTTTCCATTTGCTGCCTCCTCTTACCTTACCACTATTCCTGTGCTAACAGAGGAGGGAGGCTTCTGGTTAGTGAGAATTCTACCGATTTCTAAAATACAGGGAAGTCTTTAAAATGTATTCCAGTTCATTACTGCTGGGAAAATATGGCTGAAAACAAAATCTCCCAAAGAAAAGGAAAATAATTTTCTTTAATAACATTAAATCAGACAACCATGTACTCTTGTAAAGAGATTGAGAAGGCAAAAAGAACCCAAACTGTTAAGTAACTGTCAGGATTTGCAGTTCCCAGGCAGCTGACGCGGAAGCTGGGCCATCTCCTCTTCTGAAGCCCTAGAGCAGGCCGTTTGTCTTGATTGTATTTCCGAGATGGCTCTGCAGCCTGAGCTGTAAGGCTGGCAGAAGTCTTATTCTGCCACTAGAAGGGCTTACGTACCTTTGGAAAGGATGAAAAAATTCCAAGAAAAGGGAAGTGAGACTGTTTTCAGCAGTCATAATTCAGCCTCTTATTTTAAATTCATGTCTGCTTTTAAACTAGCTTGTTCAAGTAACTTGCTACATCCCCCGGTACCACAGAGTGAATTCTACTGCCTTTGGTTGGATCCATTATTTTGGTTTTCCAAAAGTATTTGGCAAATAGTATTTATTACAACACAAGCATGCAATTAAAAAAAAAATTTTAATAAACATATTCTGAAATCAAAGGTAGCAAGTAAATCATTCATTTCAGCATTACATGCTAGTGCTGAAAGAAGTGATTAAAGTTTCTTGGAAATTAAACAGTAGTAAAACTGTATTTTTAAAAAATCAAGTATATGCAACCAAAGATATTGGAAGACTATAATATATAATCTTTGTTAATAAATGTTCTTTGAAAGATAAAAGTATGCTCTTTTCCTTGCATTTGAATTTTCCAATTTTTACTAATGAAAATAAATTGCTCTTATAATTAATGCAAGTCTTTTTTCATTTTAAAACTTTAATATTGTCCAAAAAAAAAAAAAATCTCTACTGAGATATATTTAAAAACCTGTCTTGAGAGATTCCGCTTTTTTCAGGTCGAGAGGACACAGTGTTTTAAAGATAATAGATTTACCCTAACAAATGTATTGATTTAAGTCTTGACCCAAGTCCTAAAAGAATTTCATTATTATGACTGGATAAAATCATTTGTATTTTCAAAAATAAAGAGTGATAATGTTAAAAAGTTTTTGCAAAAACAATTATAAGGTGGGAATTACAGTCCAAAAATAAAACGGTCCTCGGTGTACAAACCGAACATTTAAAGCCTACACGTAGACTCATCAATGAAAGATACTCACAAATAAGTGAAATATTCTGTATATGAGAAATTAATTTCCTCAGCCTAGTGGAGGAAATATATAATATACTGACCGATCAGCCAGCGGGTTAATTTTTTTAAAGTTCCATTCTCAATACAGGAAATCGAATCCAGGTTATTACAGTTGGATTTTTTTAAGTGTTTGAAGTTGTAAGCATAGACGTGGTATTGGAAGGTTGCCCGCGGTGGAGGGAATTTCGCGTTATTCCTGAAAAAGCTTCCCTGCAGGATTTCATTCGTCCACCTCGTTCTGTTACCAGGAAGGCAGCACATGGAGTGTACTTCCTCTGTGTACTGGGGGAAGGTTACGGTCTTACGCTAATAGTGTTAGAAAATAAACACATGCACAGAGAGTAAAAGAAAATATCTTATTTTTGCTTTTTATGTCGCACCTACAATGTTAAACTTTGTTCTTTAATGAGGCTCAGACGTGGGTCACAGTAAATTAAAAAAACAGCCTAGATCTTGAGCATCAAAAGCACAGGCAGAACAAAGGGAAGGACCGTGCTCAGGCGCTACGCCGGTTAGGGCCCCGCCCCCGCCCCAGGGGCGCTCCCGCCACAGCTCTTGTGGTTTTCACTCCGGTCCGCAGAAGTTGCATATAAACGGAAGCAGCCATACTGGGCTGTACCAGTTAGCCTTTTGGCTTGTGCATTATGTCTGGTCGCGGGAAAGGCGGAAAGGGCCTGGGCAAGGGCGGCGCCAAGCGCCACCGCAAGGTGCTGCGCGACAACATCCAGGGCATCACCAAGCCGGCCATCCGCCGCCTGGCCCGGCGCGGCGGCGTCAAGCGCATCTCCGGCCTCATCTACGAGGAGACCCGCGGGGTGCTCAAGGTGTTCCTGGAGAACGTGATCCGGGACGCCGTCACCTACACCGAGCACGCCAAGCGCAAGACGGTCACGGCTATGGACGTGGTGTACGCGCTCAAGCGCCAGGGCCGCACCCTCTACGGCTTCGGCGGCTGAGCGACCCCGTCCCCGCGTCCCGTCGTTACCCGACCAAAGGCCCTTTTCAGGGCCGACCAAGCATTCAAAGAAAGCGCTGGAACTCCTACTGGGGCCTTTAGCGTGGGGACTGTGGGGTGTCTGTCGTTATGTCCCGTCTTTGTTCCCTTTAGTATGACTTTGGGGGGTTTTACCTTCTGCTCATATATTCCTTGCCGCCCCCCACACACCCACAGGGAATTTTACGTGTGGTTTGTAGGCGTTCTCTGTATTTTATCTTTAACCGCATGTCACCCTACAGATACATTGTCAGCTTGCTTGTTGTTTTGAATGTTAGTTATACTTTGGATGTGCAAAAATTAACTTTAGTAACGTTGGGTTTATAATTTTTGTAGTTTTGAGTGTCTCTCCCTTACACATAGAAGTTGTAACGTACCCTTCTACCCGAACCCACAAGGCATCAGCATATCTGGGGATTTGGCTTTATTCGGACAATAACAATTTTTTGAACTAGTTTAAGAACAGCATTTAGAGCTAACCTACTAACCTACTAACCTTTCTATTCTGTTAAGCAAGATGGACAATGGACGTCGTATAGTGTGTCCCTTTGTACATGTCCAGGCTTCCCCAGATGCTCCCAGCCAAGCCATTTTCTTAGGCCCTTTGACCCCCTTAACTTCCAGGTCCAAAGAATAACAGGTACTGACCCCAGATGTGGGCCGACTAAGTCATTAACCACAGGTAACTAACTGCGTTTCAACCCCAGAGCTAGTCTTGGTGCCCACAGGCTGGGCCATCTGAGGCTGGGCTTTCTAGGACACCGGGACACCTGCCAGGATGGTGTGGCTCACAGTCACACAGCAAGTCCCGAAACAACCACTTTGAAAACGAGGTTTTTGTTTCTTTTCTAGCAACCATGGTGCCTGAGATAAACCTCAGGCTGTGATACTGCCTCTGTGCAAAGCTGGTTTTTTATCTTTTGTTTTGTTTTGTTTTGTTTTTGCCAGAGAGCTCTCATGCTCACCAGTGAGAGACAAAGTGAGGAAGCAGCCCCAGGGGGACAGTCACACCACAACCCTTCCTTCTCCACTCCTTTGGGGACTTGGAGCAAACACAAGTGTCCAGTGTGCTTTTCAAGCTGTCGGGTCCATGACTCAAACCGCTGTGGGATCCAGCCTCCCTACCCACCATGCCACTGCTGGCCTCAATAATGAATTATTTTAGGGGACATTAATTTAGCACATTCAGTTTTTTAAGTATACAAATATTTTTTTAAAGTCTATTTTGGTTTGAAAGTCAGTCAGATCAGCATAGGTGGCTGAAGAAATAAATGACAGATGGCAATGGGGACAAACAAGGACATACTGGAATCGGATCATGCCGCTAATGTTTTAGCAAATATTTAAACTTGGTTTCCGCATGTGGACGAGAGGCCGCCGGGGAAGCGCCATTGAAGCCTGTGTCCCCATTGCCGTCAGGTCGACATCGGCGTGTCCTGAAGAGCTGGAGCAGCTCGAAACCATGTCAGAGGGTCGAGCTTTGAAACCACCGAAAAGAGCCTGAAGAGCCACTCTGAGCTCAAGGACTGCATGGGAACGTGAGATCCCAGCACCTCGTGCTCCAGGGGCTTCGGGCGTGTCACGTGTGCCATCGTGGAGTGGGTGGGTGCAGCCACGAATGCAAGGCCACGGGGGGGGGGGTGGGGTGGCAGGAGAGCTGTACAGCAAGGGGGGCTATCTCAGAGAAGACCCCAAAGATCAGGCACCTGCTTTGCCCTGAAGGTCTTTGGTGGCGGCATTGGAGACACCGAAGAGCATCACCCAAGAGAGGGCTCTGATCAGTGCAGGGACACTGAAGGGGTGGCATCATGGCTGACCTGTGAGAGGGCTCCGATCAGTGCAGGGACACTGAAGAGGTTGGCATGGCTGACCTGTGAGAGGGCTCCGAGTAGTGTGGGGAAACTGAAGAGGTTGGCATGGCTGACCTAGACCTCCGATGACCGATGATCACGACTCTGTGGATAAGGTTGTCGTTCAGAAATGCCACACTGAATGGCCACGCCTGTGACGGAAGGAGAGCCCTGTCCAAACGAGAAAAGGCCAGTGCTTCCTCCAGCCCAAGAGGTGGAAGTGGTTCCGGAAACTTCGGTGCTTGTTGAGTGGGTGGTTTTGGTGGTGATGACAGCTGTGGTCCTGTTGGAAACTTCAGTGGTCGTGGTGGCTTTGGTGGCAGCTATGCTGGTGGTGGATCCAGTGGCCGTGGGGAGGGTATTGTGGATGTGGCAGCCCTGGAGGTGGTAGCAGCTACGATGATTGGGGCAATTACAACAATCAGTCTTCAAGATCTGGACCCAAGAAGGGAGGAAATTTTGAAGACAGAGATTCTGGACCTAGTGGCGGTAGAGGCCAATACTTTGGCAAACCACGAGATCAAGGTGGCTGTGGTGGCTCTGGCAGCAGCAGTAGCTATGGCAGTGGCCAAAGGCTTTAATTCCCTGCCAGGAAGCAAAGCTTAGCAGGAGAGGAGAGCCAGCGAGGCGACAGGGGCGCTCCAGGTTCCACAGACTTGCGAACACAGCCAAGCGCAGTGGTGGTGGGTACGAGCTGCTACGAAGATGTGTTTTAGACCTGGCTCATGTGTGTGGGCAGTGTATGCATTTCCAAAAGTAGTTTCAGGCCTGGAACGAATGCTACCAGCATGTGTAAATCCTTCAGAGTAAAAAATCAAAGAGGGCGGTCGGGTTTACCTGTAGGTGGGATTCGCCACTGGCCTAGCCTGTCTCGGACAAACTTCCAAAACCCTGTGCGGCTGGAACCTCCAATGCGAACGTCCTGGAGGAAATGTGAGCCAATAAAGGTAGAAGGACTATTGTTCTATATATTTTTTAAAGAGAGATGTTTGCTGCAGGGCTTGTGCGCTGACCGGAGAAGAGAAAGAGTCAGAGAGACAGAGACAGAGAGACAGAAAGCCAGAAATCACTCCCCAGGGAGGATGGCTACTCTGCAATCCCTTCTCCTCCATTCTCTGGATTTGGGGCACGCATGGCACATATCTGGCATGAGTTTGAAGCCGTCAGGTCGGGACTCGAACTGCGGTCGAGTATGTGGGAGTCCAGCGACGTCACTGTTACGCCCTCTGCTGGTCCCAGCACTATTGCTAAATTTAAACAGGCAGTGACACTGGACTGGTAGGGATTCTCTCAACAGCTGTTTGAGATCAGCTTAGTGGTCAGGAGTTTGCTCTCCTGAAAATGAAGGCAAGGCAGTCAGGCCGTGAAGGGTGTGCCCTTGGAAAGCCACCAGCAGCAGTACCTGCTCTCCATTTCTGACTTACTCCCACAGCACACGCCCTGGCTCTCTTCTCTTTGAACATCAGATTTGAAGACATTTCTTCCACCTCTTTGTACTGTACTTTGAAATGCACATGAAGGGGACTGGCAGGCGGCATGGTGGTTAAAGGTGCTGGATTCCCACAAGGCTAACTGTGGTTCAAGTCCTGGATCTGGTGGCTTGCTTCCTCTCTGTCCCTCTCTGGTCAAATTGAAATGAATAATTAATTTATTTTTTTAAAAATGCAGGACACCGACCTGAGGTTTGAGTAGAGTTAATATTCCTGGGCGTGTGTAGAGCAGTGCCTGGTATTTTGACAGGCGCTCAGTAGACACTCACTTGTTGATAGGTTTCTTAGAGCATTGACGTAATCTGCAAATCCGACAGGGCAGGGCCGGCTGGCAGTGAGCCGCTGCTCTGCGGGTGTGAAACGTGCTCACCTCACCAAATACACCTCCGAAAGGCCGCCACTCACTACCATGAAAGACCAGGAGGGCACACGGTGGGACACACATACAGGCACACGTATATACCTATATGCACACACATGCACACGGGTTGAATTCGTGAACCACAGTAAATTAGTTTATGAAACAGGCCTCTACTTCTGAGTCACAAATTCAACCCGATTATAATCTAGTTTAAAATTCACTGATCCTCTTACACCCACCCTTCTGGCCCACCCCGGGATCAGCCCAACCCCCAGCCCCCATAGCTAGCCTGAGACCCTGGGCCTGGGGCACTGTTCTGCCCCTCCCGTTCTCAGTCTCTCTATATTTGTTTTTAATTCTACAAACTTTGTTGAGTGAATTAATTACTGACTCGGTGTCCAAGTGCTGTCTTAAAACCCAATATAATCTAGGCCCTTAGGATCTTTCTGTGGTTTCTTAGGTCCCAACTCACTCCAGGAGTCAAGCTTCCCTTTGCAGACTTGACTGCCTGGTGGGTCCGCATCTTGCCTACCCCTACAGGCAGGGTGTGGGAATGAAGAATTTTTTAAAAATAAAAATTAAAGGGAACCAGCAGTTAGCGTAATGGCTATGTCGCTGGACTCCCACGTAGTCGACCGCAGTTCACATCCCGGACCCGGTGGCTTAAAACTCACGCCAGGCACGTGTGCGTGCGTGGAGGAGAATGGAGAAGGGATTGCGGCATGGCCATCCCCCCTGGGGGGTGATTTCTCGCTTTCTATCTCTATGTCTCTCTCTGGCGAGCGCAGCGCCCTATAGCGAAAAACAAAAAAATGAAAAAAGGCAAGCTTGGTCAAAGTCAGAGTTCACCCAGCGAAACACCTCCCTTTCTGACTTAATCTTTTTAGCTTATCATGTGGCCCAGTAAGGCCCTGAGGACTGCTGTGCTTCAAGTCAGATACAGACTAGAACTTGATGGCAGAGAACACCAGGCAGGCCCTGGGCCAGGACTGCAGAAGCCTGGCGTGTGGTGTGACCTATCCCTTTAAATTGCCCAGGTGCTGGAGCCAACCTGCGTCCAGCGACTGCCACCTGGGTTTAAAAACTGGCACACACTATAAAATCCTATTTAGCACTGTTAGTGAAAACCTGTACCAGAGAGGGGAGTGGGCCAGAGAGGCGAGCACAGTAAACACTCGTGGCTCAGGAATAAAAGAGAATACTGATAGTGCCAAGTCTCCAGTACGTGTCCCCTGACTGCACAAAAAGCATCTCACCTGCCTGACCACAGCAATCTTAACCGGACTTACCTTCATGAAATCCTCACAGTAAGGCTGTCCAGGTATAGACTGAATGTGCACCCACAGCTCAATTACAGACAACTTAAGTGGCTCTGAAAAGAGCCTTTGGGGTTAGGTGTAAAGACGCTTTACTTGGCAGCCTCACTTGGCGCTGGTGTACTTGGTGACGGCCTTCGTGCCCTCGGACACGGCGTGTTTGGCCAGCTCCCCGGGCAGCAGCAGGCGCACGGCCGTCTGGATCTCGCGCGACGTGATGGTCGAGCGCTTGTTGTAGTGCGCCAGGCGCGACGCCTCGCCCGCGATGCGCTCGAAGATGTCGTTGACGAACGAGTTCATGATGCCCATGGCCTTGGACGAGATGCCCGTGTCGGGGTGCACCTGCTTCAGCACCTTGTACACGTACACCGAGTAGCTCTCCTTGCGGCTGCGCTTGCGCTTCTTGCCGTCCTTCTTCTGCGCCTTGGTCACCGCCTTCTTGGAGCCCTTCTTCGGGGCCGGCGCCGACTTAGCCGGGTCA